TGTGTGCTTATGGGATCATATTCAAGAAATGACTGCCTAATCCAAGGAAAATAATGACACAAGCAATGTCTGTCAAAACACGAACACAGTTTGACACACAGGGCAGAGGATATTACAAGTAAATATTTCCTAAGTAGCTAAAAGTTTAAAGGCAAAAAGGCCAGGTAATATTCCAGAAGACATCCTAATGTGAGGCTTATCAACAGTGACAAAGCCTCACTGCTCAGAGCTCCAGCCAGAAAACAAGAGAAGGCAGCAGGACGGAAGAGAGTAACCATCCACCCAATGTAGAACTGGTTACAAGCTAAGGCTAATACTTTCGAGCTATACAACTAAGGTAAACTAACAAACAATCGGATCTGGGTTATATTTAAGTGATATATTTGAGGCATTTTACCTTAAAATAACTTTAAAATTACAGAATAGTTTATCATGAAACACCTCCCAAGGTTTACCTGTTGTAATCATTTTGTTCCATTTACTTGGTAATTTACCATCCACACATCTGTTCATGTAATACTTTTCTCAAAGACCAAGATTATATCTACAGGTCCCCACCTGCCCAGATACTTCTGTGTGAACTGACTAAAGATAAGGGTATTTCCAATTAACCACACCACACAAAACAGTGTTAGTGAATTTAAGATAGGGGTATTTCCCTATTAACCACACGACAAAAAAACAATGTTAGTGAATTTAACAACAACACAACTCTTTTTGCTACCCATATTTCCATTTTGGAAACTGACCTAAAATGAATTACAGCATTTTGGTCTTATATACAGAAGCCACTTTAAGGTATGTTAAAACATTTACTGGTAACATATCTTTTGTAGTATTCAATCTGGAACACTTCCAAGGCCCTTTCATGGCATCTGACAGGTGTTTACAGTCCCACCCCTTTTTACTTTCTTCCCAACATGCACATATCAGCCTGTGCCCCTGTCACTGAGTCCATGCCACCCACCGCCAGAGGCACACCCTGACTTAGTGGCCCCTCAATGGCGGCCCTAGTTCTGAACACACAGCGGCAGCGCTGCCTGTTTTCTCCATAGACAATTATTATTTTCCCAAACTAGTAATAAATCTTTAGAGAGATATTAAAACTATAAAACAGCCTATACTTCCCCAAGAATAAATTTTATAACAGTATTTAACTGTTGTTAGAAAAAGTGGCCTCTCTACATAAAAGAATCTAATTCATTAGGGTGAGAGTTATGTGTGTGAATCAATTCCGTGCCAGGTTAAATATGTTTTATTGCACTAGACTATGTGCACTGAGTGTTTATGAGAAGCTGCTCATTAAATGTCCAGTCACTACAGAAAATAGGCAACATGATTTTTAGACCCAACTAGTATCAATACTCTAATGTTTGTCTCATAAAAAGAATTTTATTTTATGTCAGAGAAGGGTGTTATTAATTAAATGAAATAACAATGTTCTCTATTTTTGTAAAAATAACCCACTTCCATGCAAATTATCTATGATTCTGACCACAACCATTAATTACTCCTTACTTTTCCTGGGCAGTGTGGCTTTGAAGAGAGCTTTAACTTGAATTAAAGCCCAGCCTTATGTAAAACATTCAAATGCCTCTAAATTCTGTGTTTGGTAACAGGAAAAAGGAGGGCCAGATTTGGAAAATGACTTTTCTTTAAAAACAGTTCTAAATAAAAATAAATGTGTTTAAAGCTGCTTCCTATCATGTCACACCCCACCTCCGTGTCACGGAGAGAAGACTTTCATTAATCAGGCCACTACCCAACAGTCTCTGGCAGAAGCCAATACCATAGGCTGCCACTCTTAAAGGAATACCTATGCTGTTACAGCCCCCCCAACACACTTTTTTTTCTTTTGAGCCCAGAATCTCACATATAATTTCTGACTCATTTGCAACACAGTAACCTCCATATTTATGACAAAAGAACAGTTCTGTTGGGTTTTGTCTATGTTGTTTTGATGAATGAAATTGAGGAAGGAAAATGTTCCTGTTTTATTGCTTTCTTTTATTTTTCTATAAAGCATTCATAGACAGTGATTCAAATTATAGAGGAAGACAGATGAAGTCTCTGAACAAAAACGAAAGGAAGTAGTGAAGTCTGGCTCACGAATGAGGCGGGAGGAGCAGTGCTCCCACCACATCGCCAGCTTGTCAGCACACAGTGCTGTGGAGGGTGTGTGCCCTGGTTCACCCAGATGCGGAGCTCTCTGCCTCACCAGCTGGCTTCAATCCAGACACTGCACTGTGAGGTTATTTTAAGCAGCTCCTGTCTCAAGTTTGTGCAAGTATGTCCACCATTTGTTGTCTACATTGCCAAGAAAAACAACCAGCCAATGCTAAGCAATACAGAGAACAGGGTGGGAGACCTCCTGATCATTGTAGAGGAGAAAGAACAGGAAGTGAGGACGGATCCACAAGGGAGGACTGTGAAACATCAGGAGAAATGAACTGGGCTTCAGATATGATTAAAAGACAAGTGTAATGTGAGAAATCTGAATGGGAGGAAGCAATACTAGCTTGGAGGTTTAAGATGGAGCAATTATGTGCAGCATTGTGTTCTAGACTAATTAAATAAATCCTAGACTCTCTGTGTAATTATTTGGGTATATAGCTGACTAGGGATTAACTGCTGCTTTACTAAAAATATAAATCAATATTAAACATTAATAATCTTTTAACACCCACTAGAGAATTTATAAATCAATCATATACACACACACACACACACACACACACACACACACACAGAGGGAGATGCACCAAGCAACACAACTGAAGGCCAAGCAGCTCCGCATCCAACTAAGGTTTCTAAACTTTCTTTATTATCTATTCTTCATGTTAAATGACGAGTCTCTTCCACAGAACACCAGAAGGGAAAACAGATACCTCTACTCAGGGGACTTGCACATCACCCTGTCTTTTCCTAACCCCCACTTCCCATAACTGGCCTCAGGGATGAAGCCTACCTCATCATGATCTTTGTTGCAGATCAATATGCAAAGTGAATGCAAAGGCTTTTAAAATTAATTTATGTATGTATGTGTGTATTTATTATAATTTATTCACTTTGTATCCCAACAGCAGTCCCCTCCATCATCCCCTCCCAATACCACCATCCCTTCCTTGCCCCTCCCCCAGTCCACTGACAGGGGAGGTCCTCCTCCCCTTCTATCTGACCCTAGTCTATCAGGTCTAATCAGGAGTGTCTGCATTGTCCTCCTCTGTACCCTGGTAAGGCTGTCCCCTCCTCAGGGGGAGGTGATCAAAGAGCCAGCCAGTGAGTTCATGTCAGAGACAGTCCCTGTTCCTATTACAATGGAACCCACTTGGACACTGAGCTGCCATGGACTACATCTGTGCAGGGGTTCTAGATTATCTCCATGCATGGTCCTTGGTTGGAGTATCAGTCTAGGAAAGGCCTCTGGGCCCGGATTTTTTGGTTCTGTTGCTCTCCTTGTGGAGCTCCTGTCCCCTCCAGGTCTTTCTAGTTCCTCCTTCTTTCATGTGAAGGCTTTAATGGCTGTAAGGAACTCTGGCTTATCAGATTTTGCTTCCACTTTGGAAACTGCTGTCATACACGAGAGAATGTTCTGAAAACATCTAACTAGCCATTATAAAGCCTATGGTGCTCAATATAGTGGCTACTAGTCACATATGCTACTAAAAAATTAGGTAAAGTTTAAAATTCAATTCTTCAGCTCTAGCAGCCACATTTCAAATACTCAATATTTTAACAAGTCACTCTGGCTGTCATACTAGATGACACCGACATCAATGTTTCAACTACCATAACAAAAGCCTATAAGTGCTGCTCCAAACACGTCAATCAGCTTAAAGTCCACAATTACAATTTTCTTTATGACAGATTATGAAGCAAAGCATAACTTATTTATGCACTAGCTCCCTGGTACAAACACAAGTACAAGTTCATCAGGTGAAGGTGAGACAAAAGGGGACTGAGAAACTCAGTAATATTTCACAAATACCAGTCAATCTCTTACTATGGAAATGTTCCTGTATACTACAGTCACAGACATTCTGTAAACCTAATGCTTTAGTCGACAACACACACATGGATGAGCACTGTGTGGGAAATGAACAATCAACTACACCATTTCTTCAACAATTAAGATTCATCCTGAGAAAACTGTCGTTAGCTCGTTTTATCTGAGTGAGCATCACTTGTATGATGTCAGTAGGCAATGTGATCTTATGTGACCGTTGTCAAACCCACCATTATGATGTACCCCTACTCTTTAGTTCACTTACTCTCAATCCTGAAAACCACTTAACCCCAACTTCAGAACTTTGCAGCCGAGGTGCCTTAATGCCAAGTGTCATATACCACAGCTGTTCCTAAAACGGTTATGAACAGGAATATGAAGCAAAGGTAAAATCCACAGATGGTGTTTCTTATTCTCAAGACCAAACACCAAGTTCAAGGAGAGCCAGCCACTCAAGAACTGGTGCCTAAATGGCTACATGACTGCCGTGGCAATTCTCGTGGCACCTGGAGGCAAAGCCCAGGTAGACACATGACAGGGCACACTGGATGACAAGAGAGCTGGAGTGAAGTTCACAAGCATGTCAGCCATTTCTGTTATGGAGGATGCAGAGACACATCCCAGGGGCCAAAAGAAAACTGCCTCAGTTTCCTTTATCTTTTTCAACCTTCCTGGAGGGAATCATCCATCTTGGTCAGCTTGTCAGCTTTATTCTCATTTTCTCTTACAAATCCCGAGTTTCCTCTTTTTAAGTATTCATACTGGGGCAAAAGGGAACAAAATAAAAAGAAAGGGGGTTTGCCAATTCACTTTGTTCCATCAAGAAGAGCACTTTTAACATCTACTAGTTTCCTTTGGCACTGTTAACTGAGCTTTGAATGAAGCTCACTGGCTACTTCACAAGAGGGGGAAAAGCCATCTGTTTCAACAGATGGGTTCAAAGCTTATATGCTGCGTACCAGGCTTTCAAGTTTGACCCAGCTCCCCGGCTTACCTTGGCTTTCCCATCCTGGGCTGACATGTATCCCACGCACATGCTCTCTGTAGTATGGCTCCACAGAAATTCCACTGTGCCAACAAGAACACAAACAGGCATGTTCACATTCACAGAATAAATCTTTGCCTTTTTAATACAACAGTTAAAGATAGCTTTATTTAACACTCATTCCCTACTTTCCATTTGCTCCTTCATAAAAGTCAACATGATTTAGTACTCAAAACTGTAATGCCATTTACTGTGAAATGAAAAATGTACTTCTTTCTTGTCAGAACTTACGATTATTACCTGTAAAATAAATGCTCACGTTTGACTTAGCGCATTAAACACGTATACGTCCAAAGTACTGTACATAGTGATTTCGTAAATGCAATACTTCACAGCACAGTTTCTTTCAGCACATTCATGCGCATATATGATTTAAGTCTTTACTTAAGACTCTATGGCCAGGACAGATGCAATAGCAATGGATCTGAGCTAACTTGGATCTGAACTAGTAAGGAAATGCTCCAAGAAGGAGGCACTTATCAAAAAGACCCAGGGGCCAGCTTGAAGGTCTCTGACTGGCCAAATCTGCTCTCAATAAAGTGACAGTGATGAGTTACAACCACTGAGCAAATTAAGAACCAAAGAAGCCATACTGACAGGAACAAGTGAAAAAATAAAAGAGGAGACAACTTCTTCCTTTGCAGCAAAGCCAATGAATAAACACAGAAGACAACTATTGAGTGCTTGTCACTCATGCCTGATGATACGAGTTCAAATCCTGACATTCAGTGGAAGCAGAGAACTGATTCCCGAGAGTTGTGAACTTCCCTGGATGTGTACTCTGTGACACCTATAGGTCCCCACAGTATGTACATGTGCAATAATAATAAATAATATTTTAAAATTACACTCCTAAACAAGACATCCTCTTGACGCTTGAGGAATAGTGTAGAAGAGGGGGAAAGAAGAGAGACAGGGAGAAAGGCTCCAAAGTGTCATCTTCAAGCAAGACATAATTATTATGATCATGATCAGTGCCTTACTCAGTCATCATCAGAGAGGCTTTCTCCTGCAGCAGATGTAACAAACACAGAGACCCACAGCCAGACATTGCACAGAGAGAAATACCTTGGAAGACACAGTTCTAAACAATATGTCTCCATCAAATTCCTTCCCTCAGAGGTCATGAAACTCTACAGAAGAAAAGGTAGAAGGAAGGACAGCAAGAGAATAAGGCTCTCTACAACAAATGAGCATATGAACTCTCAAAGGCTGAAGCAGCAGTGACACGGTCCACATGGGTCTGTACCAGGTCCTCTGCATTTATACTATAGCTTTCAGTTTGGTACTTTAGAGGACTCCTGAATGTGTAAATGAGTGGGTCTCTGATTCTTGTGCCTTCTCTTGGTGCTTTTATTTTCCTTTTGGCTTGGCCTGTCCAACTTTGATATGATGGTTTTGTTTTATCTGATTATACTTTATTTTGTTATGCTTTGTTGTTATCTCTTAGAAGACTATTCTTTTCTAAAGAAAGACAGAAAAAGAGTGGATCTGGATGGGAAAGGAAGTGAGAAGAAACTGGGAAGAGTATAGGGAGAGAAAACATATTCATATTATATTGTATGAGGAAAGAATCTATATTTAATAGAGGGAAAAATAAAAACAAACAAATTAAAATTATGATTATGAAGTCACACCAGCTGGGTTTGCCTGAACTGGGTCTATAAAAAAACTGTCAAAAGTTAGGCATGGACAGGAAGGGTCTCAAGAGGACCAGCCCACTCCGCCTCTGCCGAAGTACTGACTACTGAGACTCCAGGAAAGGGAAGTCATCGGCTTGAGCTGTCCACCCACCAGCGACCAGCCAAAACCCGATTAATTGCTCCAACTGATACCACATGGAGGTGAAGGGGACCTCTCATTAAACTCAGCAGGTCACAAAACCAAAGAAAATAAGCCACGAATCTGGCAAAGAGCCTTTTAAGGAGGATAGAGAGTGGTGGTGGTAGGGCTAGGAGGAGAAAAACAAGGCACGGGGAGGGGTTAATCAGAATACAGTACACAAAGAATGAGCTTTGATGTGACTGAAAATCACGTTTGCTAGAACTTGTGGGTGAAGGTTTAAAGAAGGACATGACATATGCAGTCTCAATGTATCTCTTTATAAATTTCTTATTAAAAATAAAGTGACAATGTAAATTGTTGTGGAATAAACCTATGAGCTCTAACTCAACCAAGTGAGAGAGCTAATCTTAACAACTAAGGCACAGACAAAATTCTAAGTTGTTGACTGTGACTCAACTTAAAACATAACCACTAAAGTCCATAACTTAAATTGTGGAGCCCAGTGTGAACGGGAGTACCAAACAGCTTGACGTAGCAATGCTCTCCACTCAGTGACTCATCTGAATGCTTCAAATTTGTCAAAGTTAACTTCTCACAAGAGAAGCTGAGAGAAATGTGGAAAGGGACACATAACACTAAAGGCAGGATGTCAGCTTGGACTGTGTCAGGACTGGGTGACAAGGGGATGTCCCATGGACACTATTAAGACAAATGTCAGCATGTGAAAATACATTGTTTAGAAGAATGCCCTTGTTCTTCAGAAATACACACTGATGGATTAGGAGTAAAGGCGTTTAAATCTCTGAAATATCTGAGGAAGCTGTACGTAGAGGAAGGACGAGTGAAGATACAAAATATAATTTTGGAAAACAAAGCAATAGCACATCTGAGAGGTAAATCCGTGGGACCTATTGTACCAATATTAAACTTTCCTTACGTGTGAAATATTATCTAAATAAAATGTTACAAATACCATGGCCATGGAAACTATTATAAAGAAAACATTTAATTGAGGCTAGCATACGGGTTCAGAGGTCCAGCCCATTACTGGCTGTCATGGCAGGGCACATGGCGGCGTGCGGGCAGCGATGGTGCTGGAGAAACAGCTCAGAGGTCCACATCTGGCTTCTCAGGCAGCACAGAGAGGGAGGCCCTTGGCCTAGCTTGATCATTCAAACCCTCAAAGCCCACTGACACACTCCCCCC